CAAACTAGTTTGTGCAATTTGGACTCGGCACCATGACATTTATCACACCCCGCAGTACTTCACCTTGTATGGGTCCATAGTCCACACGTTCGCCATCCACTGTTATAATACCTTCTTTGTTGGAGCAGGGTTCAATGCGGAATGCACGCACCGGCACCACTTCAATATATTCATTTGGCTCCTTCGGTAGGTGTGTACCTGAGCTGGTACCTAGTAGAAACTGTGCCAGTTGTGAACGACTTACGCCAGCACGTATTATAACCAAGTAGATGATGCCATCATTGAGAAGTGACTGGGGCGCGAAAAAACAGTCTGAGGATAGATGTGTAGTGTAGGCTGCATGTACCATTACATATTCACCCTCTTCGGTATGCCATGTATCTGTAGGCACTGGCTGATCGAGCGTTGGCAGTGTAGACGGTGGCCGACGATTTTCATATTCCAAATTGATCGTTTCAAGGCGGCTTAATACGCTGCGACGCGAGCGCAAACTTTGGGCGGCGAGAGAAAAGTAGGCGGTGTGTTTCGATACAGCTGAATGCCAACTATCAACGTACGATTGGTTGCTAGCACCATCCAATGAAATGGCATCTGCAAACTCATCATCCTCTTCAGCATCGGCAAGTGGAGGAGAGTTGTCTGGCCTTTCGTCTCTCGGTGGGTTTGGTATGTCATGAAATTCCTGCACCTCTGGTGGCAAACGTTGTTCCTCATTTGATGTGGAAGAAACCAGCTTGCCATAAGTTTTGCGCTCATTCTTCTGCTCACAACGTAGATAGGAGAGTTTCCCTGTGTAAGTACGTAGACCGATCAGCCGGCGTATGCTCCAGAAGGTGAAGCGCGTGGCGCCAATGGAACGCAAACGCTCACTCTCGATATCAATATCGGCAATAAGACCCCAACCGACTGAGAGGAACGAATAAATTTCACTAGATTTACCTTCTTTTCCCGAATCGATGCGTACAATATCCATCGGCGCACGCTGACCCGCAACGCATGTCAGCGTCGCATATAGTATCGGCTTTGGTTCGTATGGTTCCTTATAGAGATAGGCAATGCTACGCGCGAGTCCATTACCCGAGCCACAGGGTATGATACCTATAGGTAATCCACGCGTGATCGCACGCCAATCCTCGCGCTCCATTATGCCATTGAGCACTTCAAAGAATAGACCATCGCCTGAAGCGACCACTATGCCACTGTAGCAGCGCAATAGATCGTTGTGTTTGCGCACGAACTCGCGTGCATAGTTGATGTGTGCGGTCACATGTAATTCATATGGCATTTCCGCCTCCTTGAGCAAAGGCGCCACCTGTTTGTGGAACATCTCGCGTCCTTTACCCTTCCCGGATTTGGGATTTAGAAAGATAAGCAGTTGTTTCTCACCCAACTGATTTTTGACTGCTGACTGATTGATGCGTATGGCATGTTGCCAACGTTCAGCTACCTTCAAGTTCTCCTCGTAAGTGTCGAATGAGCGAAAGCGCAAAATACGCACTGTGCGCTCGCGACGCACCGAACTCTTATCGCTCGTCTCGCTCTTGATGTAAGCATAAATATGCAAATAGGCGCAAATATCCTTCCGCGTTCCATTTTCCACCTCCGTATCTTCGTCTATGCGCCGACAAGAGACCAAGCTGCCGCG